GGATAGTTTAAAAATAAAAAAAATTCAAACACACATGTTACTATGAAAATTACATTCTAACAATCCATATTTATATACAACAAATTAACGTACTCGCTTTAAGGTATTCAGTTTAGGAATATACTTATTCGAACTACGTAGTCAATGTATTCTTTATTCACTTAGGTTAGTATCACACCGCGCCAAAAATCATCTTCGACTTAATTACAGGTTAGGAGAGAAAAATAGCCTAATGGACCTATTTAAGATCTAACTATTATAATTATTCACTTAGGTTACCTCAATTAATGCACGCTTAACCTAATTATATCCAACTGCTAACATCCAATCTGCTTTTACAATATTTACATCTTATATCTATTTTCTCTATAACAATTATTACCATATCGTGAAGAATTTTCAAAAATTTCAAGAACTCTTATAAGGTACTTATGACCTATATTGTGAAAATGTGATAAAAATATGTCAAGAGTTAGAGGTACCTGAAGGAGATAGGGGCACACCGTTAAGGTCCTAGCAGATCGAAGATTATTGAGGTAACCGCAAAGAATCTCTCCCTCTGCATTGGTTGAGTGGGTTGGTTCATCATATTCACGCTCTACGGCAAAGTCCAAGTATACTTCTTTAATGACCTTATTCAATCTGTCGAATTCAAGGCATATAATATGTCCTGAGTATTTGAATATATCTACATTCGGCAGGTCAAAGTAACAAGTCATGAGAGGGAAGTCGCAATTCTCAAAGACGAATTCCCTCATTTGCCCAGATACCATCATATCATCAAGTCCCCAGCAGTAGTTGAAACTTAGACTCTCGAGCATAAAAGAATCTGCTAGCAAATGTTGGACCTTTTTGAGTTTGATCCAACCAATAGAGAGCCTTTTCAAGATCCTCGGATTTGCGAATCTCGAGAGGTCAAACTTGCACGAGTAAATCTTCAGTGACACGAGGGTTGCTAAATCGTAGACGCATGCAGGTAACTTAACAACAATGTCATTCATTGATGCATCATTGTATGTTCTCCAAGCAGGGTGCGAGAAATCAAGAACTAAGTTCTGAACATTTTTCTCTACGGCGAATTCCACCAGTGACTCGATCTCCGCCAGAAACTCCGAAGGAATGTAGATAGAAATCTCGAAACTTTCGATGACTTGACCTTGAAACCTAGCGACCCAATGAAGCATGTGCTGAACAAACGAAGCCCTAGCCTCGTTTAAGACTTCGTCAGTCCGGTACTCAGAGAACTTAAAAGCAATGTTCCTGGTATCGTGGCAGAGTTTCTCCCAGCGCCTCGAGTGAACACTGGTTCGCACACATTCCTTGAAGGGCAAGCAAGAGATGATTATGATCAGAAGCACGTCAGGTAGGAGTGATAATCTGTCTGGTTGAGGGCTTGAATCCATTGTCAGAGAAATGAGGTGAATTTCGAAAGAAGATATATGTTTTTGTGATAAGATCGAATAAGGCTTAGGACGCTCCATAGGATAATTTTCTTCTCTATATATAATGATAATGACGAAAGGTCGTGACTTTGTGATGACAATGACATGCATATAGATAAAAACTTCCCTACGTATTGTACGTACCTTATTAAGAAAAGGAATGTAGATACTTTCTCAAAAAGGAAGATGTGCTCATCCACATACAGCTAATCGACAACTCTGCTTTGACTGACAAACAAAACATTATTTTTTCTTGTCTCAAGTCCATGGACTGCGACCAACTGACAAAGTTATAGGGTTTTGTTTTTTGCTCAATCGATTTTATATTCGGA